AACCTGCCTAGGCTTTTGCAGGGTTCGAGGATGGTGACGGCTTTAAAGTTGCCGTGGAAGAGGGCCTTGAAGGTGTCCTGGAGCTGGCTATCGAGCTCCTGGCGGCGAGCGTCTTTCTTGGACTCCTTGTGCTTTTGGCGCGCCTTGTCCTGTGGAGCGGAGTCGCCTCGAAAAGGGCCCTTGGCGCGTGGACCACCGTTCACGGGGGCACCTCCCGAGAACTGGTCCTCGAAGGCCTGGTGCATGGAGGGGACTGCGGCAATGGCCTCGGTCTCGTGTATGGTCGCCCGAATCCAGCAGACGTGGTCGGCGGGGTCGATGGTGGCGACGGCTACCTTTTCCGTGCAGGCGACCTCCTTGGTGCCCAGCTGGTACACGATCACGGGGGCGTGCGTGTGGACCACTTTGGGCGCCTTGGGGTGGCGCTTCAGGACGGGGACGGCGAGCTCGGCACCGACGTAGTTGTCGTTTTTCGGGCCCATGACAGCAATCGCGAGCTGACCCGTGGCTCGCTTGCCCTGCTCGAGGTGGTGCTGCAGCAGCCGTTCACCACTCTCGTAGTCGTGGAGGCTGATGCTGGGCTTGTACGTCTTGCCGTCGTCAGGCGAGGTGGGTTCGGCAAGGACAGGGACCTTCCAAAAGGCAGGGTCCAAGGCGATGAATTGGGTGTCCGCAGCCTGAAGACGTGCGGAGCCCGCTGGTGGATGCGATGTGTCACCGCCAGTGCGCTTAGGCTTGCTGCGCTGGTGGTGATCGAGCGTGTAGCTAATCTGGTTGGCGGCGCACATGCGGATAAGGGCGCTGCCAAGCTTCTTCGTGTTGGACTTGTGCATGTCGTACATTGCCTGGAGCTCGTCCGCGTTCAGTTCGGCTAGCCCGTTGTAGGCGGCCGTGGGGCGGTCAGACCCCGCTTGCCTGAACGCTGCGACGCAGTCCTGCTTGCGTTGAAGGAGGGACCCTTCAGCAGCAGGGCGCGTGGGACGGGAGCTCGGAGGCTGCTTTGAAGAGCGACGGCGCTCCGGCTTCTTGGGGGCCATTGCTGCGGGCACTCTGGTGCGGAGAGGTGACGCGAATCAGTAGGGTCCTGCTGGGACCCCTCCGGTCTCGCGAGGCCTGGGAGTCTGACTCCGAGGCGGGGCGCTTCGCGTCGCGGCTGCGGTCTGAGTGCAGAGCACTCTCGAGCCGAGACTAGAGAGATATATAGAGAGAGAGAGAGAGAGAGAGAGCGCGAGACGAGAGAGAGAGAGAGAGAGCAGAGAGAGAGAGAGAGAGAGAGCGGGAGAGAGCGAGGGAGAGCGAGAGAGAGCGAGAGAGAGCGAGCGAGAGCGAGAGAGAGAGAGAGAGAGAGAGAGAGCGAGAGAGAGCGACAGAGAGCGAGAGAGAGCAAGAGAGAGCGAGAGAGCGAAAGAGAGAGAGAGAGAGAAGAGAGAGAGAGAGAGAGAGAGCGAGGGAAGAGAGAGAGAGAGAGAGAGAGATAGAGAGAGAGAAAGAGAGAGAGAGAGATAGAGAGAGAGAGAAGAGAAGAGAAGAGAAGAGAAGAGAGAGAGCGAGAGAGAGAGAGAGGGAGAGTGAGAGAGAGAGGAGAGAGCAGAGAGAGAATAGAGAGAAGAGAGAGAGGAGAGAGAGAGAGAGAGAGGCAGAGATAGAGGCAGAGAGAGAGAGGCACAGAGAGAGAGGCAGAGAGAGAGAGAGAGCAGAGAGAGAGAGGCAGAGAGAGAGGCAGAGAGAGAGAGAGAGGCAGGGAAAGAGAGGCAGAGACAGAGAGAGGGCAGAGAGAGAGAGAGAGACAGAGAGAGCAGAGAGAGAGAGAGAGAGGCAGCTCAGTCACACTTAAACCCAGATTCGTCCTCACCGAGTCCCACCACCAAGGGAGCGCCAGCAAGGAGATGCACACATGGGGATCCCCACGCAGTGAATAATTCCTGCAGCTAGGTTTTTCAACACGTTTAGGGCGCTAGCTTGCTGAAACAGGTGGACAGCATGAACAAACATGATGACAACACACAGTATGTGCATAATAGGTTATAACAAATGTATATCGTTCATTGTTTTGAGATGTATTTTCATTTTCTCTAGAGAGCCCAATTATTAGGCACTTTTGTTTCTGTGTACCGCCCTCGGCGCCACCGATTTCAATGCTCAGGCAGACGCGGGCGGCGGCAAGCAAAAACTCAGATCGCTCGCCGCCAATGCGTGAGCATCGAAGCTGAAGGATGCCATGGACCGGACCACGCGAGAGAAATGCATGATTGTTGCTTGGGGTTTTCATCGGAATGGCTTCCCCCAAAGACGACGAAAACGCTTCCAAAACCCTCCCGAAGCCCTCCGAAAAGCCTCCTGGGATCCCTCCTGGAGGATTTCCGGAGGGGTTTTCGGGAAAATTTCGGCGGTTTTGACTGGAAACCAGTTCCTAGTGAGAATCCTTGACTTTCTAAGGCTATCCGTCGGTCGGAAGAAGTGGGTGGAAGCAGGCAGTTGTAAGGCTTTGAACGTAGACTGGGCGTCCGCCCGCCCTCTGAAGAGGAGGGGAGCGGGAAAACCACTCGACCTTTGAGGTAGAAAGGCGGCTGAAGTGGACTAGGATTAGGTCGGGCGTGTCCTCCTACATGTGGATTTTGAGTAAATAAAACATATTCAAAAATGATCAACTAACATAAAACATAGTGTAGAAATCGTCCCCATTATATGTTTGGACTATTTTGGAATATTCCCTCCTGTCGAGGGACACGCCCGACTCAAGATTAGGACTTGGCATGTACGGCAGGCTCGTGTCGTGACGACCCTGGCGTTTCCTGGCGCTTATTTTTGTTGACACTGCGTGGATCGCTCAACTTTGAACGATCAGCAACTTTTTGATCGCCCGATCGTTCCATACAGGCCGATTCTGGGGGCACCAAAAGGTACCGATACCGCTACTCTCCGGACCTCTGCTGGGGTGCGTTCTGACCAGGATTTCGAGGCGAATCCAGCGGTGGCGACGACGGAGGCCCAGGAGGCCCAAGAAGTGGAAAACGCGGAGAGGGTAGAGGTATGGGTACCTTTTCCTCCTCTGAGATTCTGAGCCATCGGCGGCGTTCAACCTTGAACGCCTTCAACGGGGTCGCCGCCGGTCGACACGACGCGAAGCTACCGTGCTCTCAACGACCGACGGGGGTGCGCTCTCTTCCCTCTCCTCGGCTTTTTGCATCCGCTGCGGCCGCGCCGCACATCGCAGGGGTGCGCGGTGAGGACGGGCGCAGGGGCCTCGGAAGGCCATGCCGACGCCTCTTCGTAGGGGAACGAAAACTGGCACAAACATAAGAACGAGGAGGTCCGCGCGGATGGTGGCCGAGCAGGGGCCGACGGAGGCAAAGGTGCGAGGGCCAACGTCGCTCCTCCTCGCTGCCTTGCTGCCCGTGTTGGCTCCACGCGCGAGGGCGAGCCCAGGCAGGACTGACCCTCTGGTGCCCGGCTTCAGGGAGCCGAGAGGGGGGGTGGGAGGGCAGATCCAAGCGCGCAAAACAGCGCCACCTGGGGAGCCCTGCGAAGCATCCCCCTTTCGCGTAGCTGCGACGATGATGCCCACCAGCAGGCCCAAAGAAGGGGCGCCCAGGGACACACACAAAAACACACATGCCAGGATTCTCTTTATGTTCCTGTCTGTTCTGGGTTTTCTTCCCCCCGACTTCCCACATTTTCCTATATTTTCCTGGGGATTGACGATGCGTTATGTCTGTGCGGTTTTTCCCCTCCTGACCAGAATCCAACTGATTGATCATTGTCGAGGGCGCTACTGCGTGACGGGCCCTTTTAGGCATTTCTTGATCGTCATCCTGCATTCGGGGTGGCGAAAAGGGTTTTTACGGGGGACTCGAATTCGCCTGACGGGGCCTCCAGAAACCTGACAGGACCTGCCCGTAGCCTAAAATTTGTGCCGCTACAAGGATCTCACGAAAACCTGGCCGTCAAAACTCGTGCCAGGACCGTCAAGAGGCAGCGGCAAACCCGAGCTGCGGCGACCTCGAGACCGTCATGAGCCCTGGGGCGTTGCGCTCTCCCTGAAGGAACACAAGAATTAGGTTGCCCCCATCGTGTTCAAGGACCAAGTCCCAACAATGACTTCGAGCACCCGAGAAAATATCGAAACAGTGTCGAACGAGTATCGCCTGCCAAGGCCCGACACGTGAAAACCCTCCAACCTCGGTCATTGCTTGGTGCTCGAAAATCTTCCTGGTGATCAAGGCTAAAGTAGGTTGGAACATCATAACACAAGAACAATCAAACCAACGCTGGGCTCCACGAGAGCTGCCTGAATGCTACCACACCCACCGGAACCCCGAGCACTCGCCTGACCACTCCAGCGTGGAACATGCCGCCTCAGGGGGCCGCCAGGAGTCGGGTCCGTACTCGGGCCTCCTGGGCATCACCTGAAGGGACTCGACTGACAACGCCGACCATACCCTTTCATTTTTCTTAGCGTTGGGGAAACGGATCCCGAGGGAAACGGGTCCTGGACCACAAGGCCTTCCCCCAGGACGACCTCCTCATCCTGAATCGCCTCCTTACAATTCAGGAAAAACCGCAGGACCCGTTTCCCTCTCCCAATGGCGGTTATCCCGGATCTGGGGAGACAGACAAGTACCGATACTGCTACTCCCCGGACCTCTCTCACGGTGCGTTCTGGCCAGAACTTCGAGGCGAATCCAGCGGTGGCGACGAGGGCCTCCTGGAAGGCCCGACAGAAAACGCAAAACGAGGGAAGGGCAGAGGTACGGTGGGTGCCTTTTCTAAAGGAACCAAAAACGGCATAAACATAAGTGTTTGACGGTCCGCGCGGATTCCTTGGATCTGCGCTGGACCCCCTCCATGGCGCGCGCAGCGCGCCAGGGGCGGCGCCGGAGGCGCCGCCAGGGGGGTTCCAGATCCAAGAAGTCCGCGCGGAGCGTCAAAAGTCTGTGTCTACACTTATGCGTTCGTTCTTCTTCGATTGTCCTCCCCCGTTTTTCTTTGTCCCGAATCTCCTCGTGCTGTCCGTCGACTGCCGGTTGGAGAGGTACGGGTTGAAGCCGCCCCCGCCGGGCAGGCCGGGGGCCGGGAGGCCCGCCCGCGCGGCGTGCTGCGCCTCGGCTGGCCGAGCGATGCACGCGGCCGGGCCGACGACAGCGACGACGACCACACGTTGTTGCCGCTGGTGTTGCTGCTGCTGTTGTTGTTGCTGCTGCTGTTGTTGTTGCTGTTGTTGTTGTTGCTGTTGTTGTTGTTGTTGATGATTTTTGTTGACTCTGACAGTTTTCATTGTTGGACCCCCGAGAGGCGCCCTGGCGCTCTCGCCTCGGAGCCTGCTGCATTCCCTTTAAAAACTAGGCTCGTGCCCAAGCGTTTCGGGGGTGCGCCGGCACCGGCCCCCCAACAACAACAACAACAACAACAACAACAACAACAACAACAACAACAACAATTACTAGCACGTGGGGACACTCCGTTCTCACCAGTGCCAGGGTTTTCATAGGAGGCGGGCAATACCCCCACTTTGTGGGGGGGCCGGTTCAAGCTCTACCAAGTTTCCAAACGACTCTTCGCCACCACCCACACCCAGCTTCCCGCCCTATGACGTTCGGACACTTCACTTCGTGGCCTGCGGACGACCTTGGCTACTACACTGGCGCATGGGTACAGTGACTTGTTGTGGTAACATTTTGTGGAAGCTAGCTTAGTATACGACTTTTCCCCCTGTTCCAACACTGGACACCTGTACCGTTTTCCGACGTTTTTCCGTTTCTGTACCACACAAGCGAAGACACTTATTTTGAGTGGTACCACGTGCGTGGCGCCAGCATACCACAGGACTTGTTTCCGTTGTTGTGAGACGATACATGCTCATTCTTGTTTTGTGGTTGTCGTTCCGGCCGCAATGTGCAATACTGGCCCATTCGTCTACGAAATACACGTGACTAGCTCTCTCTGGCTGGAGGTCCTGATGGTTGTGGTTGTCCCGATGGTTGTCGCAATGATTGTCCCGATTGTTGTTCCGATGGTTCTCCCGATGGTTGTCCCGATGGTTGCCCCGATCGTTGTCCCGATGGTTGTCCCGATGGTTGCCCCGATGGTTGTCCTGATGGTTGTGGTTGCCCCGATCGTTGTCCCGATGGTTGTCCCCATGGTTGCCCCGATGGTTGTTCCGATGGTGGTCCCGATGGTTGCCCCGACGGTTGTCAGCGATGCCGGATCCTCGCGCCCCCCGCCGGAGGAGGAGGAGGAGGAGGAGGAGCAGGACACGGCGCGGCGGTTCTGGACACATACGTGCTCTGGAGACATACTAAAGAGACGAGTCTTTGTGCTCATCATCTTCTGGCATACGCCTGTCTCTAATGGCACGCATCGGGCGCAATACTGCAAGCTGCGCTCCTGGCAGCAATACATCAGGGGCCAAGTGTCCAAGCATTGTGCCGATGCGCCTCCTCGCGGATACATCGCCCGTGCGTGCGTGGGGCGCCAATGCCGCCAGGACGCCCTGGACATGCGCCGGCATGCCCAGATCCACCTGGTAATCCATGACATTCCCATGCTCGGACTGCCCGAAAGAACGCCATACTGGCATGTGCCACCAATGGTCCTGCTTCGGGAAATAGGTGATACCATCCTTGACGTCGTCGGAGGCATTCCACAGAGCCATAGATGGCGGCTCCATACCCATGGATCCCGTGTGTGTTGCCACAAATACATCCAGGCTCGCCATGCGCCTGTATGACAGACCTGATACCACCTCGGAATGCACGTGAATACGCAGGAGCTGCAACAGCCTGCGCAAGCCAGCATACACCCAGCCGCCGTGCCCGACGAAGACGTGCGATCTCCAGTTCGCTATACCGGCTTGGGTGCACAGCCGATGGAATACTTCCAAAAAGTGTGCCCAGATACTTCGCGGCTCCTCCCAGTCGACCGCGGCAGGCCGTTTGCCCACGCGGACAGATCCGGTGGCGGCTGGCCGTTTCAATACCCCGCCTGCGACCTGTGCCGCCGGGCGCTTCAATACACGCTTGGTGACGGCCTGGGCGGATGAAGCCGCCGCCTGCACTGAGGAGCTCACCGACGCATACACATCGCACCACTGTCTCAACGCTCCTCGGGACACCAAGACAGCTTTCCGTCGCATACGCAACGCGGCATGCAACGTGTGGTACTTCAGCCCTGGATATACCGCGCGCACGTGGTCACCAAGTGCCGCGTCGAGCTTTTCAGCCGTGTCATACTGCAAAGGTCCAGAGTCAGGGTGATACTTCACGTGCCATTGCCTCAAAACCATACCGCTGACAGCGACGGGAGGATCGCTCTCCGAGAGAAGCTGCGAGAGGACCTCCGCGGCGGCCTCGTCGGCGAAGCTCTCCCGATACTGATTGAGTCGAAGACGCTGGCCTATACATTCCTCCACAGCTTGGGCAGTATTGAATGCTCCCTTGGCGCCCCACTCAGTGCTGAGCCACTTCTGGCATACCCTGGCGTCAGCAGATACAGATAAATGCCCCAGGAGCCACTGCTTCAAGACGGCCCCGTCAGTAGTCCCCTCGGGCATGTCTGTGCGAATACGTTCTCCATACCAGGTCTCCAAATGGCCAGCGTTCTGCACTATGACAAGCGTCTCTTTGGAATAATACTGCAGTAGCCACGCCGTTGCGACCGGATTTGACACATACAGTGGTGGATCCAACCGTCGGAGCGCCCCACATAATTTGAAAGCTGTATTATACTCGATGCCCAGAGGGCGGATGGCAGAGCCGTGCTGCTCCTCCAGCTCCTTGGCGCTAGAAATACTGACCTTGCCAGGCACAACCCGATACTTGACCCACCAAACCTTGCACGCCTGGTGACTGACCTGGATACCCTTTGCAACGAGCGCCTGATGCAAATAAAACGGGCTGCCGCAGTCGGCCAAGGGAGGCCGCGACAGCTCTGGGCCATACTGCTCGTCAAGGGCTTTCGCCGACAAAGCCATGACCCATCCAAGAACACAGGCGATACCTTGATCCGAGATGGCTACGGATGTGACAGTGATCAGTGATTTTGTTCGATGACGTGGTGACACACTGACTTGTTGTGGTACCGTGCCGACAACGACGACGCGACGACGCGCGCATGTGTCCCGCATGATATTTTTTGCAAGGGATTGTGGCCCCTGGCAGGCGCGCGAACGCCGTTGAAAGAGCTTGCGAAAACAGCTCGCGCGAGCTTTATAACATAAATGTTGAAAAACCATTGGTTTTTAAGGATTCGGACAGCGCGCGCGGGTAGAAATTTTGAAAATTCGTACAGATGTGTTTCGAGAACCTACGGTGCGATTCGTATGATTGTATGTTGCGCGGTGCTAAAACTCCTAAGACACCCAATGATTTTTGAAGATTTCGGCGTGCGCGCGCGAAGAAAAAACGAATGTGTCCCACATGGTATTATTTGACAGGGATGATGGCCCTGGCAGGCGCGCAACCTTTGTTGCAGAAGTTCGAAGCACGTGAAAAAAATGCTCGCAAGAGCCCGTTTGACAGAAATGTTGAAAAAATATTGGGTTTCCTAAGAAATCCGCAAGAGCGCGCGGGGTGAATGTTTGAAACCCTTTTTTTGAAAAACCATTGGGTTTTTTTCATGTTGTTACGTGAAAATCGCTACGAAGACTAAGGTTTTGGAAGGATTTCGTCTTGCGCGCGCGAGTGTGCACTTCGTGTCATTTGTTGCAAGGGATTCTTGAAGTTTGGTCATGTTAGAACAAGAAATGTCCACTTTGCCTTATTTTTTGCAAGGGAAAACCGATCGTAACAACACAACCGGATCTGGTATACCCCGTTTTGCCTGAGACTTCCTCACGAAAATGATGAAAATGTGGCTGCGGCCTAGGCGCGGCGGGGGGGGCGCGCACCAGGGGCCCCAACAATAATTATTCTTTAGAATTAATAATGTTCAACAACAACAAGAACAACAACAACAACAACAACAACAACAACAACAACAACAACAACAACAACAACAACAACAACAACAACAACAACAACAACAACGCTCCCGCTCGATACTTCTACTCATGACCGGAGCTCTTACTCGCCGCCGAAAGCCGGCTGTCCGACAAAACCGGCGCTCCCGCTCGATCGTTCCTTGCTTTTTACTCGGGACCAGCGCTCCCGCATCGGCGCCGCAAGCGGCCCCCCCTGCAATAACCGGCGTTCCCGTCAGATGCGTCCTCCGCTTTGACTCAAGACTCCTGGAGGTCCTGAGGCCTTCCTGGTCCATGTTGAACCTTCACAATTAAAGATCTAATATTGTGGGGCACCCTACATCCGCACTAACGCTCTCGCCCCGGCGCCGGCTGCATCTCCTCTGAAGATTAGGCTCGCGCTCAGGCGTTTCGGAAGTGCGCTGAAACCGGCCTCCCAACAACACCACCACCAACAACAACAACCACAACCACAACCACAAACATAACAACAACAATCATTTTAAGACTGTTCGCTCTGATCTGCTCGCGTGCCATTCAACACGTACATCCCAGACCCTCGATACCCGCCCTCTTCGTCATCGATCGAACCACCTTGGGGGTACATCTTTCTTATCTGCAACGTGTGTTCCATGCAGCCCCTACGGCAGGGGAAAAGAGGACGGATGGACGAAAGGAACAAGGGAGAGGGAGGAGGATGGAGCACGAAAGAGAGAAAGAGAGTAGCAGGAGTGTGGCTAGGACAAGAAAACACGTGGCAGAATTAGATAGGCAGATCGAGCGGGTAGACCTTACCAGGCGGGTCGGTAGGCGGGCCCATGTCGCCACGCCGAGCAGACGGGTTGCTGAAGCGTGCGTCCTCCATGAATCGCGAGGAAGTCTTGAATGGTAGCACGAGTCACAAGTAATTCGTGACCTAGGCCAAAGCGAGAGTGTGATTCCTGAGTGTCGAGGGCGCAGAAAGTACCAACAGAGAGCATTGTGAGGAAGTCCCGCGCGAGAGCGCGACTTCGGGAACCAAATGTGAGGAAGTATCAGGCGGGAACCGCTGTTGTTGTAAACCTGGTGCCAACAATCCCAAGACTTCCCCTAATAAAAAAACAGGGTGCGAGACCCGGGACGGGAGGGAGGGGATCAATAATAAT